AAAAAAAAAAAAAAGAACTGTGGGAAAAAAAAAGAACGTAATGACCAAGCACAATGTGTTATCTCAACTGGATTCCACTTTTTTTTTTTTTAACGTAGAAAAGACATTTGGGGGAAACTATGATCATTTGAATATTAGATGAAGGAGTTATTGATGTCTTGTCTGAACGGTTTTGTGTGGTTACACAGGAGAAGGTCCTCCTTAGAAGTCAGATTCCACACTTGGGATAAAGCATCATGAAGTGTGATGCCCTCTCTCAAACAGTTCAGCAAAAAGAAAAAATACACACATGCACACACACATATACACAGACAAAAAATGGCAACGTGTTAACAACAGCTGAATTTAGGAGGTGAGCATGTGAGTGAGTGGTCATGATAAAATTCTCTCTTTCCACTGTTTTATGTATTGGGAAACTTCGGAAGAGAAAAGCAGGAAAGCCATCTTACCTGACATCATCAGAGCTTCCGGAATGAAATGTGGGGGCGGACATATCTTCCTTGAAGAAGTCCTCAGAGGAGACAGGTGTTGAGAACGTGAACCCAGGGTTTCCCTTCAGGATGGTATTGAGTGGGATGTAGTCCTTCCCATCCTGAAACACCAAAGACAGAGCTGTCAGGGCACGAGGGCCCCGTCCAGGATTTTCCGGGAAGCATCGTGTCATCTTTATGCCACCTGCACCGTCTGGGTTGTATTTTGGGATGTCTTACGAGATATAAACCCAGCATTAAGACATACACGTGTGTTTTTTACTGCTGAGCTCACCTATCAATGGTAAAACCAAACCAAACCAAATGAACAAAAGGACTCCTTGACCTGAGGGACTGGGCCTTCTGCTCTGCACGGATCAGCGTTACCTGTTGTACATTTGCTTGAAGGAGGTCGCCCAGTTTTTCCACAAGTTCTGCAAATCTTGGCCTTTCCTTTGGGTCTCTGTGCCAGCAGTCCAACATGATCTGATAGCTGTGTGGTGAAACACGAGACAGAGCTGGAGAGCTGTGATCGAGAGACAGACTGGCCTATAGTGCGACTGGGTGTCGTCATGCAAACCATGATTAGGGTGTTTGTAAGTTATGTTCACTCGCCTTCATTGTTGGCTTTGGGGTACCAACACCATGTAATAGGCTGTTTGGCCCAGGTCCTGCTGGTAGTGGGAGACAGAGCTGCCTACAAAGGCAGGGTAACAGATGTACCCTCCAGAGTCCATCACCACCCATGGTTTTTGGAGTGCCTTTGGACTCTGCAAGGAGCTCTGGTGGCTCAGTGGTTAAAGCATTAGGCTGCTAACCAAAAGGTTGGTGGTTCAAACCCACCAGCTGGGACAAAGATGAGGCAGTCAGCTTCCATAAAGATGACAGCCCTGGAAACCCTATGGGGCAGTTCCACTCTGTCCTCTAGGGGCGCTGTGAGTCAGAATCACTCCAGGGCAGTGGATGTAGTTTGGGTTTTGCTTCTGTGAAGATGACAGCCTTGGAAACCCTGTGGGGCAGTTCCACTCTGTCCTCTAGGGGCGCTGTGAGTCAGAATCAACTCTAGGGCAGTGGGTGTGGTTTGGGCTTTGCTTCTGTAAAGATGACAGCCTTGGAAACCCTGTGGGGCAGTTCCACTCTGTCCTCTAGGGGCGCTGTGAGTCAGAATCAACTCTAGGGCA